TCTACTGTGGAATCCCAGTTTTCACCTCTTCCTTCTCTCCTATTTTCCCCTGAGTTGTGAACCTCCTTCCCCACTCTGATTTTGAGAATTGAGCTGTGATAACTGTATGAAGGTTCTTTCCTTGCAGCTCTGCTACAATTTTCACCAACTGCAGTGTCTGAACACAGACTGGATCTTTGCTTTCATATGTATATTGTTAGTGCACAAAGCCGAGATTCCCCAATCCATTACTTCTTTCTTAGGTGTCTGATTTTATGGATATAGTTGATAGAGATTAATGTAGAACTTTTTTCTTTGATAACTTGATGGGCTAGACCAGAGGACAAGGAGGATTTGGAGGACATCAGAATAAATGCTCTCTTGGGACTTCCAATTTCAATAAAAGCTTTAATGTTTCTTTTGTAAGAATATCAGGCAGAAATGTATCACCTTAATTTTTTCCTGGGACTTGCTAGAAATGAATTATTTTAAAGAGTCTTTTTATCAACTTCATAGACTGTCCTTTCTCAACTTTTTATCATAGCTGCCTCTTTACAGTAACAATTATAATGGTCTATGAAACACTTCATATACAAAATGTGCAAAAGACAGGTATTATTCAAACACACTGACACTGATGACAAAGTAGTTTTGCAGCACAGTAGTTACTGCTCTTGGAGCTGAGATGGTGGCTATCACATTCTTAGTCCAGTAATGCTTTTACTGGACCCCACAAATGTTGCTGTTTATGCTTGAGAGTTCTTTAATATGCTTTAGCAATGTAGTCCTTACCAGTTCTTACGATTTTATATCTAAACGTACAAAATAATCTTGGTTCGTTAATCTGGAAATTGGTTAGTGCATCTGTTGTCCCAAAACTGGGGGTTCATTTACCCAGTGTGCAATACACCAATATACACACACAGCAGAGGTATTTTATTGCATATTTGGGTGTCAAGACAGCAAACCAAAGCTCTAAATCAGTGGCTATTTATACAGAAAACATTAACATATTCATCTTTCTAGTACATATGCATTGTTATTCTGTTAAATGATTGGTTTAGATTTCTTCGCCTAGCACGCAAACTAGAACACATGCTCAAGCTCTTTTCTCCGCCTTTAGCTTTTGAGTAGGTGGTGTAATTGGGGTGGGTGGTCCGTGGGTCGGTGGTCACAATTCCCCTGGCTGGAATTACCTTTCCCCTAGCTTCCCGTTACTTTTGGCAAGTCCAAATAGTTCTTCATGGTGTACTGACTGAACTAGTAATATATCAGTTAAACTTCAGCTTTTAACAATTACCAGCTACTTATCAGACAGAGGTATTTAGCTATTTCATGTCTGGCCTGAGACCAGCAGGTGTAGGGCTACGCAATGGACTTTTGCAGCAGCATGACAGCTTGATTCATATCACATTTTACATTTGGGGTTACTGTAACAAATCCATTCATCAAACATGTGTCTGTGTTCTGTTTTCTGTTTGTTTGGCTTGGGGCTTTCTGTTTTACAGCATACAGAAAACATCCCTAGCTTTGAAGTGGCTATAATAATGTGATTTCAGTAGAAGGTGAGAAGTTATCAGCAGAAAATTTGTCCTGTTGCCAAAGTTAGGCCTAAATGTAATAAAAATGGTCCAGTGAAATTAATCTTTCAGTACTGTTTGTAGGAGGGGTCACTGCTCTGCTGAAAAATTTATGTATCACAAAAAGTAGAAATTTTTGATAGGAATGTAAAGATTAGTGCAAATGGGAGGTCTGACTGTGGAAGCACCAGTGTTACCGGAAAGTGGCAAAATATTTCACTCTTTAAGACTTATTTTGAAGTTTTAGAAAGCAGGCATTCTTTATTGCAGCGCTGGGTGCACGGGGGATAACTCCACCTAACGTGCACACCCAAAAGACAAAACCAGCAAGTATTTATACTATGTTAATATACATATTCAGTATATTTCTGAGTAATGCTTATCATATTCATGGATTTTCCAGGAACTCGTTAGCATATGCTAATGTCTTTCACGCATGTTTGTTGGCACCTCTGGGTGGTTGTCAGGGGTCTTCAGACTCAGTCCTGGTGTCACATATACCTTATCCCTCAAGGCTGGTTTTGTGATCACCTCGTAACTTTCATATCTCTGCGCATCTTTTCTTCCAAGGCCGAGCTGTTTAAAATGAGATTGTTCCAGAGCTTCTTATCTTACAACTAATTATTTTCTAAGTTACAATGGTTTCCCTTTTGTTTGGTTACATCTATTGAGCAATGGCTCTAATTGCTTGAATTGGTCTTAATATTTCAATGTTCACAGGTATCACCAGAAGGAACGGCAGAAGAGAGATAGAAATGGCCAATGTTGAGGGCACCTAGATTTGCAGATCATCAGGATTACAGCACATCTTTGTGCAGCTTCTTAGAGGACCAGATAGGGAAAACAAAGGTCAGCCAAAAACAAGGGACAACATGTTCCTGTACTCAGACTAAAGTGAAAAATCAAGCTATTAAGAAATAGTGGCAGTGTAAAGAACAGGGCTGGAGCCTGGAGGCACACAGACAAAAGAGACAAAGAGCACTGTTGATGACTCACAGAGGTGGGACAGGATGGGGGACAAAGCATTTCTGCATCACTGTTGGCTCCCCGGGGGTACCAATGGCACATCAGCACATGGCTGCCAGCCTAGCCAGCGTTCCTCATCCCTGGTCATACCTGGCTGGGTATCTGTGTCTGAACACAAGACACTCTGCTGGGACACCTCTTAGTGCTCCTGGGTGTAAGCGAGTGAGTGAGATCAGCTTTGTGTCACTCTGAACTCACCTTTTTCTCTTGTAAGGCCCTTTGCTGAGTTTGCTTTGTTTGTGCTGCAGTGTTGCAATATCTGTTGTTACTGAAAAGTACAGATAAGCATGATTGATACCAAAGCAAATGCAGCAGTGGATGGACATGCCAGGGGAGTGCCACCTGATTTTTTTAATTATTATTATTTTTCTAAGAAAAGCATTTGCAGGTCAGATAGCAATTGCTGCAGCAACTTTTCTGTGACCTTGGTCCTTCTGATTGTATGTGGGATATGATGAATGCCTGTTTTGGCTACTCAACAATGTGGGACGCTTTGACAGTGAGCTTGATACTTCATTTTGTGAAAGATGTACATGTCCTGATACAGGTGATTTCTGAAGCACACGCTTCTAATGCAGGAGCCCTTCACCTGTGCTGTTTGTTTCTCCTTGAGGAACCAAGAATATCCCTGGTTCATCACAGAAGGTTGCTGAGCACTGATGAGTTTCTGGGTCTGGTGGTGCTTGCTTTTATGTAAATGATGAAGACCTTGCCCTGTTCTCCCTGGTTCTTGCTTGTGTGTCTTTAAAATATTTTTTTTGTTTTTTTTCATTTTCTCTGTCTTTGGATTTATTTTCTAGGTCTCTCTTCCTAATTAGTACTTTTGCCTTCAGGTGTTTTGTAATTAAACATGCCACTATGTATTCATCTGTTTACACTTTCCACACTTTATATGCTACTTGAATATTTTCACAAAAAAAAAAAAAGCTGAAGACAGATAGTCCCTAGACAAAGTTTTCTCCCATGCTACATTGCAACACAGTTGACGCAAAATACCAAAGTTTGCCACTGTTTCTTACAGTGGCTCTGCAATGCACAGAGATCCCAGCATGCAGAGGCATAGTCACACAAGCTCTGATCCTTCGGTGGATGCACTGGGAACAGTGAAGATATCAGAGCATACGGATGCCCTTTGAGAGCCTGCAGGAATCTCACTGTCATGTAAATGTCATGATAGTGTTCCCTTGTGATAGTGGCATAGGTATGGACCATTTGCTGTGTTAAATGATGGATTGAACAATGAATTTTATATTCATTTTTAATTAGATTTTTTTTGTCAGTGGTGGAACTCTTGAGTTTTAGGACAGGACTGTTAAAATGTGATTTGAAGAAACTCCTGCTCTGGGGGACAGTCTTGGTCTCCAGATTACAGTTTTTGTGGTTTCTAGGACTCCTAGAACGGGACTATGGGTTTTGTGTATTTAGCTTGACATATTGCAGAACATTCCTGTGCAGCTGCCTGGGTGATTAATTGGAACAGTCTGTAATGGTGATCTCAAACCTTAACAGGAGAAAGGTGACTCACATTGGGTGTGCCCTGTGCCAAGTTTACTGAGGCTTTACAGTTGCTCCTGGGGAATTGAACTGGGCAGTGCCTGCTCTGTCAATAAAAGCAGGTGTCTTTGCCTTTTAGGAGGTGTGTGTGACTGAAGCAGCCGAGCCACCGAGTCGGGTACAGAAGATTATTGACTGGCTTTGTCAGCAGAAGACAGTTATCCACCTGCCTGTTCTAAGTATAAATTTGTCTCTCTTTGCCTTTGTTGATATGCTTGCTTATAGGAAGGAAAATGGGGCTGTGAGGGTAAAAGAAATGCAAGTCATTTGTTTGTTTCTGTCTTGTATGGAAAATGCTGGTGTCAGTGTGCTCCCAGTTCCAAACCCTGAGCTTGGCAACTGGAGAAGCGCTGCAATATAGGGGGTCTCACGGAAAGAGGTCTTTCTTACCTTTGTAGTTCTCACTTGGACTTTGGTTCAAGCTCACAAAAGTTTAGGTTCAGTACTCATCCCATGTAATTGGGGCAAAAGAGTAAGTTTAAGTGTTTTTTTTTTTTTTTTCCTTCCAGGATTTTTTTTTTTCTCCTTAAACTAGTAGATTTTCCCTCTTCAATTTCTTTAGAATGGGAGCTGTACATCCTGTTGGGGCCAAGTTCCCACACCAGGGCTTGCAGCCAGCAGGCAGGGAGGTCTGGCAGGTCGCAGGAAACTCTGGGTTTCTTAGGCAATGAGGGGACTTTTTGGATGTTTTCTTGATCCAGCAATATTGGCACAGGATACAAGCAGTGGCTGTCTGGTGTGATGGCACATTATCAAGATACTGTTCTGCTTGGTAAAGTCTAAACCAGCCCCCATGAGCAGCCCAGCACCATTGGGCATCTCTTTGACAGGAGCTTTTTGGCTGTGCTGTTTGTTGTGCAGGATGGTGACTGCCAAGGTGTGGGTTCTGAAGAAGCATTTTGAGGGTTTTCCCAAAACCAGCGACTTCGAACTGAAAAAGATAGACTTGCCAAACCTAAAGGATAGAGGTAAGTAGAGTGACACCTGTTTTTGTTTCTTCTGGGGGTTGTCTGGTTGCTGATGAATGACTGTGTCTATAAAACTGTTTGCATGTTTCTCTGGCTTGGATTTTCAAAAATGGGTTGGCACAACTTGTGGCAAGCCATGCACCTTAGCAGAGAAGGGTGATTGCTCAAGAACATGTATGCTGATGGGTTTGGTAGGTTTTAAGACATGCTGCCTTCTGATAATACCATTAGAAACAGCAGCTGAGCTCTTCTAACTCCAGCGCACGGCGGCTGCAGCATGCCTTTCACAGTCTCATACTGCCTAATCACACATGGTGCCTAGTGGCAAAGGCATTTGAATGTGTTTGCAAATAAAGCTTCCTGGAGAAAATTGCTGAAGTCATATGCCCTCAAAATCCACAGCTGGAAGGAAACAGAATTCTTCTAATTTAGTAAGAAAGAAGTGAACCATGACACAGAGCAAATGAGATAAACATAGTAAAACCCAAACATGCTTTACTAGTGAAAAGTTTTCATCTACTTTGTTTTGCAAAATCCTTTGGAGAAAGCTGGAGAAGGTGGTAGCCTCTCGGAGTAGGTTTTAATTCGATTTTGTCATGCTGATAGGGAAGGCGGTGACGATAGAGCTGGGGGAGAGCAGAGTGACTGGGGTGGGGGTGAGCCTGTAGCTGGGAGGTCTTAGGGCTAGAGTCAATGTGGGCTGGTTTTTCATTTTAAAAAACAAGGCAAGACTTCTGTCTACATCCAACATCTTGGGTTTTTTGCCGGTGCTTATCTGTTGTATTTGACCTGTTGTGACAGCAAGAGAGAGTGAATAAAAAGAGAAGAAAAATGCATAGGTTTTATTTCTGTGTTTCTCTATTTTGAAAAGAGTAGGGAACTTATTTTATGCAAGAGCTGTTGATAAAAGAATGAACCTTGGTATTTGGCTTCATATGGACATCCATACCATGCTGTCTTGAACTTCACCCCACCACTTGTCCTTTACAAAATTTATTCCAGTTTAGAAGGTGCACCACAGAAATTTCATTAAAATACTAGTTATGTTTACAACTTAAAGGTTTGAAAGGTGGTTTCTTCTTACATATACTTTTAAGTGTTTTCATAGCATGTGTACTTCATAGCATTCACACACTTAAAAATTTCCTGCCTGCGGGTATTTAAGAACATGGAGTCATTTCTTTCTTTCCATTTTAATCCCTACAGCAAGAAGAGCATAACTTCATACTAAAGCAGCACTTTTAAGGGAGAGGGCCTTTCTTGTTATGTTAGATGGTCTTGACTATTCTCCTTGCTCACTCTGAGTAATGGGAAAATATCTGAATACATTTCTAGCTTGTACTAGCTAGACTACTGCAGCACAGGCAATTAAAAGTATTATTAGGTGGAGAAGAACAGCTCTAAGTGCTCTGTAAATGAAAATTTAAATTAACATTTGTGTAACAGTGTATTTCATGACAACTAGTGGCATTAGAGGCAGTAAGGTGGCTTAGGGTACCTAGAAAATACAGCCTAATGCTTTCTGTTTAAGGCAGCAAAGTAGTGGTTTTGTCTTTGACCTGTGCCACGGTTTCTTACCACCCTCTGGTGGCTGAATCATAACAAAGCATTTTGTATTTGGGTCGAAAGTAAGTTCTTGTTTTGCTTAGGGGATCTGGCCTCTTGAGCTTTCTATAGAGAGGGGCAGATAAAGAAAAACAGGGTTGAAAAGAAGCAACCCTCCTAAAGAGACACTACAGAAAGAGTCTTTTGTGACAGCACAGTGATAATCCAGACAGAGCTAATGAATGTAGTAGTCTTTTCTGGTAGTTTTTCCCTAAAGGATCATGGGATATGGGGGTTTTGAATTCCTATCACTTTTTTGAAAGACTGCCTTGTGGAAACTATGTTTTACTGCACTGCTAATGCCCAGGCGTTTATTTTGTCTTTTGTTGCAGAGTTGCTGCTCGAATCAGTGTTTCTCAGTGTTGATCCTTACATGAGGTATATCTTTTCTTCTTTTTGAATTGCTAGCTAAGGTACCTCATTTGATCTTCCACTTAAACCTCAAAAGAACATGTACTGGGAGCATCCCCTGTTGCCAGAGTCCCAGATGCCTTTGTCTACTTTTTATAAAATGTGTGTAAATTACAAGACTCTCAATATGGAGCTGTGCCAGATTTAGCATAGCAATGCTGCAGCCCTAGACTTCTCTTGGACTCTGCTGTTCCTTGTCATGTCTCTTGCACTGGAGTGCAATGGGCTCAAATGAGACTGCAGTCCTGTTGCAGTAGCTCCTTCACTTCCCTTAGCAACTTGGTGCTTAAGAATACATATTCTGAGTAAGAAATTGCTAATATGCCCATGTTAATAGGTGATAGTTCAAGCACAGGGAGACTGGGTAATTTGAAGGAGCCTGGTGGACCCTAGTGTCAGAGATTGTTCTTTGGAGTCTCAGCCTACTTGTAGTGGTGAGCCATGCTGGGAAGATTAATGCTATTGTGTCCCCAACACTCTAGCCCAGTATTTGGTCAAGAAGGGATGCTCAAGTAGCCAGCTATGGAAAACATCCAGTTATGTCATTACAATGATAAGCTCTTTGTGATCTATTCATCATCACTGCTTATGCTCTCTGGGTCAGAGAGTAGCTACTACTTAATAGTGTATCTGGAACATCATTAAAGTTGCTTACAGTAAGCCATCTCTGCCTGTGTTACAGACCTTACAGTCAAAGGGACATGAAGGAAGGGGACATAATGATAGGCACACAGGTTGCCAGGTAAGATCTTCAGTTCTTGTTATCCATACCCATGGCAGATCTTGAAGGAATGTACTGACATTCGAGACATCTGCAGCCTGCATTACCTGTTCTTGACTTGAGTCGATATACTTCTGCAACTGTGTTCTTATCTATAATTGGTTGGAATATGTTTTTCTTCCAGGAACCTCTTTTGCCTTCTTGGAGAGCATTTATGCCACTGGCATTTCTGGCAATAATGTTTTCAAAGGAAATTTTTACAAGCAGAGGTATGAAGGACTGACCATTGTACTTGCCATAAGTGTCATCTTCACATTTTAAAATCTGATGTGCTAGTAGTTGCATGCCCAAAACCATGCATGCTATCTACTCCAGTTGAGAATCATAGAATCATCATAGAATCATGGAGTGGTTTGGGTTGGAAGGGACCTTAAAGACATCTAGTTCCAACCCCCCTGCCACAGGCAGGGACACCCTCCACTGGACCACGTTGCCCAAAGCCCCATTCAGCCTGGCCATGTACACTTCCAGGGATGGGACATCCACAGCTTCTCCGGGCAACCTGTGCCAGTGCCTCACCACCCTCACAGTGAAGAATTTCTTCCTAACATCTAATCTAAATCTACCCTCCTTCAGCTTAAGGCCATTACCCCTTGTCCTATCACTCCATGCGCTTGTAAACAGTCCCTCTCCAGCTTCTGAATACCTCAGCATCACCTAAGATACAGCTCTAGGGTTATCTGACATAAAATCCATCCTTTCCCAAGCTTCTGGTAATTTAGTTACACAGATGTTTCCCTTTGTCAGCTTGTTCCTGCTGTGCTGCCTCTAAGTTGCTGCCTGGGAACATATGTGGCCTTTGACTCTTGTGTTTCTCTGCAGGAACACAGAGGTCTGGGATAAATTAACAACCAAGTCTGCTGAACAGAAGGCCAACTGTTTCCAACATTTCAAAGCTGCTTACCTACCCTTTCCCAACATAATTTTCCTGTTGGGCTAAGAAAGTTTAATTTTCATTTGGCATAGAGACACCAAGTATGAGCTTCTCCCTGTTATTAGATATTGCCTTCTAACTGTTTTTGTTACCCCAAGAGGTTCCATCTTCAGGATCTTCAACCTTTAAATGAGGTGCAGATCTCGGAAGGAAACTGCTTGTTACACCTATCTCTGACTTCTTGCTTTTCCACTCTTTAATCTTGACATCCTCTTTCCTGCCTTCTAACTCACAGAAGCCTAGTCTGAATTCATACCATACTGGTGCTAGTCCAGAAAAAAGTTGTCATCTGTGTGGGAGCATTGAATTTGTTGTGGGCAGGGCTGTGTCTAGAATCATCTTGCCCAATACCCGCTGGTGATGAGAGATGGTAGACATTTCAGGAAAGATATCAGAGGCCTACAGCATTAGCAGTATGGGCTAAATGTCCTGACCTGAAATATTTCTTTTCTCCTGCATCACAGGGCAACCGGAATAAAGGAGAGAAGAGTCAGTAATGATTTGTCTCTGACATTCTTTTTTTTTTTTTTTTTTTCTTCTTTTAAACAGGGTTGTAGAAAGCAAAAATCCTGCTTTCACAGTGGGGGCCTTTGTCGTGGCTAGAAGTGGCTGGAGAACTCATTTCATCTCTGATGGGAAAAACCTACAGCTCCTTTCTTCAAGCTGGCCAGAATCACTCCCCAAATCTCTGGCTCTTGGGACAGTTGGCATGCCAGGGTGAGTTTCACGGTGCAAAGGTAAATACCCCTTCAAGGTGCAGGATGTTTCTGCCTGTCTGTATGATCTTTTTCCCTCGCCTTGTTCTACCAGCATGATGTCTGCCCACTTTGCTAAAAAACATGTGTGCTTCCAGATGCCCTTACCCTGTAGAGGGCCTGAAGTTTGGCCCATCCTCTAGATCAGAGGAGATTTGCCTTGGAGATTATGATGCCTCTCCTTGAGGAGTTGTAATAAGGTACAAAGAGGGTCGAGGAGCAGCTGGAAAGAATCCAGTTCAATCTGAATTAACCTCAGTGGAATGACTCAAACTTCACTGGCACCTGGATGAGTGTGCTTCTGCTGATTGGGCTCTTCTGCTATCACCATTTTTCCAGAATTGCCCAAAATAGCAAAAGACAGCTGTTATATCGTGCAGCAAAATAGAGGTCCTTTAAATTGCACGGCAGCAGACAGAGCTGCTGTGCTTTGGAATCTGTATTCACTACTGCAGCCTCTCAGTCATCTCACATTTCTTCTCTCTTTCTCTGTAGTTTGTATGAGAGATCAGGACTTGGTCAGACCTGTTGACACAGAAAGCTTTCAAAATGATTGTAACATTTTGTGTGACATAGAACTTCTCAGATTTCATTTCGACATAGGCAAGATGCATGTTTTTCCAGACAGCTGCTAGATGGATTGAGTTCACCCTTTCAGTTCAGACCAAGTGGGAAGCTCTAAGCTGAATTTAGAAGCTAGAAGAAAGGTTTGTTGGGATTCTGGGCCAGCTGATCACGTTACTTCAGGAAGCTTGCAGAACCTGATGTCACTCAATATTTATATGATCAGTGGAACATGCTTAAGCTAAACTGTAGTGGTTCCTACAGATTACTGTTAACCCAGTAGCCATAGTTGTGCACGGCAGTCCCTGAGGAGCAGTGTGTCCATCCGTTCAGCAAGGTTTTGCAACTGTTTTTTTTCTTTTTTTGCCAGCTTTGATTTGTTATGAGAATTGTTTAATCTTTGTCTCAATCTAGTAGATACCAGCTGGCTACTGACCCCTGTCTAGCTTGGATTTACTCCCTCTTCCAGTATGTAACTGACTTGTCAACTTACAGAGTTATCTCTGTGTTTCTCCTTTCAGCTAGTGAGCACAAGGAAAGGTTTTTTCACCTAAGGTAGGCTTCTGCCACAGTGTCCTGTTTCCCTGTAGTGTATCTTTTTTTTTTCTTTTTCTGAGATGGCTGTAAAAAAGCCAAATTAAGAAGTTTGGGTTAATTTTTGTATTTCATAAAGAATGATGAAAACTCAGTCTTGTTCTGGTTGGATGATACTTTGGTTCAATGTAGTCTAGTCACATCTCTGTGTCTGACATCTTTTATTCCTCACTGCGCATTCTTTCTTTTTCGTTGCAGCCTCACTGCGTATTTTGGTCTGCTGGAGGTCTGCAAGATGAAGCCAGGAGAGACGGTGCTGGTTAATGCCGCAGCTGGCGCTGTGGGCTCTGTGGTGGGGCAGCTCGCTAAAATTGGGGTGAGTGGCTTGAACTTGCTCCTTAGAAGGGTCACCTGGGTGGCAGGGGAACAAGGCCATGAATGGTCAGGAGGGCAAGCATCCCTGAAGGCGTGCTTACAGTAAAGTCTTGAGATGGGACAAGCTCCCGAAAATGTAGCAAAGTTAGTTGAATGTTTCCTAGAGCTGAAGAACTCATATGGTGATGACAGCCTGACTTTAAGGGTGAGCCCTCTACCCAGTACTCTGTGATGGGGATGTTTAGAAATGTTTTTCTCGTTTCCGTGCAGGGTTGCAAAGTGGTTGGCTGTGCTGGCTCAGATGACAAGGTTGCCTATCTGAAGAAAATAGGCTTTGATGAAGCCTTTAATTACAAGACCGTTACATCTTTGGATGAAGCACTGCATAAAGCCTCTCCTGATGGCTACGACTGTTTCTTTGACAATGTGAGTTCAGAGAGGGGGCTTTGCCCTGAACAGGCTGTCATTTTCCTTAAACTACAGCAAGAAATCAATATTGCATACATCTAACTGAAGACTACACCAGGAACTCGATATCGAGTTCCATCTAATTGAGAAATGGTCTCTGTAAGAGCTTACTGCTTTCGTGTTCCCTTCCCACACTTATTTCTGCAGCTGACTTGGGTGGTAACAGAAAGACCAAAGGCTGAAAGGCAAAGCTGTATTGGTGGTGGTGTTTGTGAATGGAGAGAGAGAGAGAAGCTTTCACTCTCTGGAAAGTATGGCACATTTTGGGACAGTGAGGGTCACAGTGAACATTTTAACTGATGCTTAATGGAGAGAGCTCCGGTCCATTCCTGGCCCCGCCTTGGACCACAGGCAGTTCTCTGTTGTTGCTGGAAGGGGAGTGAGCATGGATGGCCCCACATTACATGGTCCAGGTGGCTACACCAGTACCTGTAAACAAAACAGTTTGTAAAGCCCACTTGTAAAATTGCTGGAGTGGCCCATAGAGGGTTCCTGACCTCTTCCAAGTACAGCTGGAGTTAACAGGGGCTGTGGACTGTTCTTGATAGGTTGTTTGAATACGACCATCTTGTTTTGGAGGCTAAGAGAGCTTAACAGTACAGATGCAGTCAAACCGTGTCATTCCACCTTGAAGCCAGAGAATAAGCCCTGGCTTTTTTAATTTCCTAGTATAGCTAATACATACATCATACATGATAATATAATACATGGCATAGGGATATTAGCTGAGGTACTGGCCTAAAACTCCCTGGTTAGGTCCCTGGTTTAGAGGGCAGCCATCATCACCCCTTTAACATGTTTTTCTCTCAGCAGTCCATCCGCTGATCCAGGGATGATGGCGCTGCTGTTCTTTGTGGATTGCAATGCACCCATCTTGCCCTGGGAATTGATGTGAATGCATGGTGCCAGGGCAAAGCACTTGTCCCTGTGGCAGGAGCTTCTGGTTGCTTTGCCTTATACTTGCAAATCTCATGTCCTGTGCTGCTAAGATCTTAAATAGGTTTTATGGTCATGTCTGTTTCCTTCCCTCTCACTTCCAACTTTTGTGCAGAGCTCTTTCCAGCAGTAAATTTTCTCACAGCTTTTCTCTGTTAAGAGCTTCTGAGTACAACACATCCTTATTTGTGAGAAGAGAATCATTAAATAAAAACTTGATATCACCAAGATGTGAACAGGTAGAAGTGCAGACTGATGAGGGGGAAAAGCAGAGGTGGTGCTTCTTAGGTGACCCTAGACATGCCCCTTAGGAGGAGAGATCTAAGGGCAAGTCTTGTCCAATGCTTCCAAACCAAGCTTTGTGAAGCAGATTCAGATATAAAAAATACTTCCTGTGTTCATAACTAATTTTTAGAAGAGTGACATCAAATCCTCATAGGCGTTGACTAAGTGTAATGGTTTCTGCAGCCACTGAGTCTTTCTAGTAGTGGAACTCACCTCTTCATCCCTTAATTGAACCTGTTGGTGCAACAATGCAGGGTTGGCAGGTTTTGGCAGTCAGTGCCAAACACTGGATTGTCTCTAATGCTGCACATGCTCTGGTTCCTGTAGGTGGGTGGAGAATTTGCCAGTATTGCTATCAACCACATGAAAAAATATGGAAGGATTGCAGTCTGTGGAGCCATCTCTCAGTACAATGACTCCGTGCCTCAGAAAGGTGTGGGCCTGCTTTCTTGTGTCTAAATTTATTTCCTGTTTGGTGATGGCAGAGACAAAGACGTAATGGGAGTCTCTTGAGATTTTATTGGTTGTTTCAGTACGCCATTTGAGTGTAAGTATGTGTGTATTTTGGGGTAACTAACTGCTGGTCTGAGAGAGCGGGAGTGTGACCACACTCCTTGAGTGTGTATGCGCTCATCCTCCTTTGTGCACACTTGCATGGAGAACATCAGCTGATTAGAAATAGAGGAGAGGCTAAACTGCTTAAAACAGGATTCCCCAGGGCTCTAAGCAGATATAGATCACTAGAAGGCAGGCATGGTGGCACGATGCCATTTACACCATACGTACTTTTAGATGAGAGAATTGATTTCCCTCGGGTTTTTAGATAAGGCAGCTTAGGGTTGGTTTTTTTCCCATAAGATTTCAGCTACTGGTGAAACTGCTGGGAAATGTGGGTGAGATGAATATTCACTTTCAGTAGCATTAAGTTTTCTAAATTTGCATTCTAGAGGAAATGAGAGGTCAACTGACTGGCTTTGGACTCCCAGATCACTTCAAAAATTGCACAGGCTTTTGAGAGTGGAGAGACTATTACTCATTTTTATGATTGAGGGAACTAGTTTTTAATGTGTATAACTTTTTTGAGATTTAGGAAGAGCATGAGAGCTTGGTAGGCTATCAAACAAGCTGTCAAAATAGTATTTCCAAGATTCAGCTGAAGCCCCTCAGGTGAAGCTGAGGTCACTTTACTTCTGAATGAAACTGTTTTCAGAAGTGTTGCATGTTTAGCCTCACAGCCTTATGGATCAGGCCTTTGTTTCCCTGGGTAGCTGTCTGTCCATGTTTTGGTCTTTTGTCCTAGAAATTCTGTTTGGGAAAAATAGCAGTTGCTTCTGGCTGGAACGAAGTGATTTAGTGGTCTTTACTGGCTAAAAGCTCTCCTTATGCATTGGGTCTTATTTTAAATGGAACTGATATTGCAGGTAGTTTGCTGGTTCCTTTTTCTTGCAGGATCTTACGTTCAAGTTCCAATGATCTTCAAAGAGCTTCGAATGGAAGGGTTTATTGTGACCCGCTGGAATAACCGCTGGGACGAAGGTCTGAAGGCACTGCTAAAATGGGTCGTGGAGGTAAGGAAGGAAGGGGGAGTTTTCTGTAAGGTGTACTCACACCCCAGCTTCCCTTTTTTGCAAGAGGTCTCTTGTCATAGCTGTTGAGGTGAGGTCCCAGCGTGATATTTTTCTTCCACCTGACTTGATCTTTGAGCCTTTTGGGGAACATCAAACCATAGTGAACATGCCTGATCCCTTCTGCTTTGTTGACACCTGCGATATTAGCTTGTGGGCTTGGATATATTCCAGAATACATGTAGGCTTTGAAAAAGGATGCTTCCAGGGTAATTCAAAACATTTCACTGGCAATGAAGAGTTTTATATTTAGAGTAATTCCTCTTTCTCATTCACAAGTCTCCTTTGATTTGTAGAATGAGCAAGGGATTTCCACTGTAGTGTTGTGCTGAAATTACTGGCAAGAATTTCAGTTTTTATGGAATTGGGAGCTGATCTTAAGGGACTTAATAGGAAATTTCTTATTTTCTTAGAAAAAATTTATTTTTCTAAGTGGAGGCTGAGCTTAACACTTGGTTCATGGCTGTGAAAAGCTTGTGAACACTATGAACACTAGAGGGTTTAGTATGAATACTAAAGGCTAAGATGCTCTAGGTTTTACAGACATGAGGATTTGGGATGGCTCAACTTTTGATCACTTGGATTTGCAATTTCATACTTCCCAGGCCTGGCTTTGGGGAAATAATCCCCTACCTGTCCATTGTTTGGGGACCAAGTAGCACTAAATCTGTCCTGATGTGTTTTTATAGCAGTGACCTTTGTTCCCTGTTATGACTCCAAGTAGAAGGTCTTGCCACAAAAGCAGATCCTCACAACAGCCTGCTTAGTTCTGCAGAGTTACCCTGGTGTGTGCCAGCTTGCATTTCAGATGAAACACGCAACCTGGAGATAAGTTGGTTGCAATTTAGTCTCCCAAAGATGGTAATAACTAGGCAGCTGGTGAATGAAAACTCAGCAATTGCCCTTCTTCTTTTTGACAGGGAAAAGTGAAGTGCCATGAACACGTCACTGAAGGATTTGAGAACATGCCAATGGCTTTCATTGGAATGCTAAAGGGAGAAAATCTTGGAAAAGCCATTGTAAAAGTCTGAAGGTCACATATTCCTGGGAGACTGATGCAGTACAATGTGATTCTGTTAAGTACTTTTAACTTGCTAATCCAAAGGCATGTGTCAGTCTTTTGCTGGACATTTGGTGATGATAACTTCTGTTAATAATTGGGCTAATAAGTGTGAGTATATGCCAATCGCTTTGCTCTTGAAGAATTTGAGAGTCGCTTCCCAAAGCGGTACAAAAAAAAGTGCCTTAAAACTGCTGAACTTAATCAGTAACTATAACAGATTTAATAATAGCTTGAACCTTTCTATGATTTGGCTTGTAGAAAGGAAAAGCAATTCCAAAGGCTTTGCCAGCTGATGGCACATCTGATGACTAATGCTTACTCATTGATTTGGCCCAGATCTCGGCAAAAGGGATTTTTTTTTTAACCAATATCAAGGAGCAAAGAATAGGCTAACAACACCTGGGGGTTCCCAGCTTGCTCACTGGCTGGATTTTTTTTTAATTTTTTTTTTAACTTTCACCAGGTCATGTAGATCTCTCAGTTATTCTGATTTTTTTCTCTGTTAATGGATACTTTGCTTGTGTTACAGTTTTGTTTGTGGAATGCTCTCCTCCTCACTTCCTTGCAGTTAACACAGAGTGGGTAAAATTTTACAAGCACGCATTTATCCCAGCAGATCTCACAGTGCAGATGGCATGGATAAGTCACTTATTTCCTTGAGTAGTTTGGCCATTGCTGTCCAAGCTTAGCATTGACCTTGCCATGGTGTTCACCCTGGCTCTTCTGGAAGATGAGATCAATATGGCAGCCCTAGCTGAGTTAAATGGATGTCTAGGACCCACGTGGTGCTGAGTGAAGGAGACACACGGATTAGTAACAATAAATATCTTAGATGTATTGAAAAAGCCAGAACAAGAACCTGTTACTATGGGATACAGACAGGTATTGAAGGTGATGGTGATACGTCTTCAACCACTGTGGAGGACTTCTGGGTTAATTTTTAGGTCTCATTGTTGATCTGTGCTCTTGGTGGTCCCAGTGGCTGTCAGAAGGTGTGCAAGGGATTGCCTGGGGCTAGGTCCTCCTTGGCACTGCAGCAGTCCTCCATTGCATGCACCTGCAAAGGAGAAAAGGGTGTCAGCTCCATGCAGGGTGCAGTGCCTGTTCCTCAATGGCCCTGCAGCAGGGGCTGTGCTGACGGTCATCTCTGGTCCTTTTGTGCTGCTCTTCTCCAGTCCACATAGCTGGGTCTGTGCCCCTACCTAAGGCACACTTAGCAAGTAAGCCTGACAGTAGGATTTCTGAGGCTGTTTAGGATCCCAATTCAGTGAGGATATGAGAGCAAGAAGAAGAGTTTATTTAATAATCTTAAATGTAAACAGCTGCAGTCTTCATCATCTGTTGGCTAAACAGATCTTCATTTATACACATCATTATTTCTAGAGTTGTGGTTTAACTGCTTAATGCCTTATGCTTCCTGGGCAAAACGAAAGTCTCTCTATTAGAGGTGTTCTGCTCTAATAAATACTGCAACTTTTGTGTCCTGCTCCTAAGCAAATTCAAGCTGGGGCTGGTGGCAGTAACCGGCCTGAGCTCAGGACACAGTGGGAACCAGCCTTGAGGAGTTCATCATGGCCTGCCACACCAAGGGTGGCCTTGGGAAGCCCTGGGAATTGCTTGCAAAGAGCTGTGGGTTGCTGAAACCAAGGAGCTATTCCTAGAGTGCACTGCTGCCTGCTGAGCTCTCATGGTCCTCCAGAGTGGGTGCTCACAGGAGGGGCAGGGGTCAGGACACCACAGTGCAGCATTCAGTTTCATGTGAGTCCTGGTCCCCAACTGAATCAAATCCAACCTTAACCCCCCACCACCTCTGATGCAGCCCTGTACTGAAGCAAGACAAACCTCAGATCCTTTGCTCTTACCTTGTTTCCACAACCCCTGACTGTAGTGGTCCTCCAGAGTGGGTGCTCACAGGAGGGGCAGGGGTCAGGACACCACAGTGCAGCATTCAGTTTCATGTGAGTCCTGGTCCCCAACTGAATCAAATCCAACCTTAACCCCCCACCACCTCTGATGCAGCCCTGTACTGAAGCAAGACAAACCTCAGATCCTTTGCTCTTACCTTGTTTCCACAACCCCTGACTGTAGCTATTCATCTCATACCCCGCCCCCTCCCCCCCCAGCTAGACAGCATCAGCTCCAAACAGGTCCCTCACAGCTTAGCTTGCTGCTGGCCATTACCTGTGGTGTGGGGAAGACACCTCCTGTCCCTACCCTCAGCCCCTCATCACTAGCTGAACTTGGCCTCTGCTTCCTCATGAGCTGGAAGCCTTTGGGGCTGTCCTGCTGTGGTACACAAACTGACCACTGCATTTCCCTTATCCACAGGCTTCACGGTTCTGAGGACTGTTTGTTGTTCACGGTGCCAGCCCTTGCTCTTCCCCCACTGTGGTGGGTTGACCCTGGCTGCCCCCCAAAGCCGCTCTGTCGCTGCCCTCCTCAGCTGGGCAGGGGAGAGAAAATATAACGAAAGGCTCCTGGGTCGAGATAAGGACAGGGAGAGATCACTC